AACACGCGTTCACACGCACGAGATGCGTACTTTATACAGACAACGCCACCACGCGATCGAACGTCGTATCAAATTTCCCTCGGGGAGAGTTCGAAAACGGACAAATAGTTTAGTCTCGCGTTGGAAACTGGACAACTGAAGTCCCGGTGACTTCAGTCGGATTCCGGTGGTATTTTTTCATCCATTCCCTCCCCCCTTTATTCGAGGTGTCAGAGTATAAATGGAATAGGCTGGTATCGAGAGGGAATACCTGGAGGTAACGCACGAAATGGTCGACGATTCGAAAGCTTTCAAGCCAGTCGGGGGTTAACCGCGACTCCCACTCCTCTCCTCTCTTTCTGCGCTTCGCCTCCCCTCCCTCCTCCTCTCGTCAAGGCTCTTCAAACGCCCTTCAACTCCCACCTATACACGCGCATTCTCGCCTCTTTCCTCTATGGTGGCGCGTGGTGGTCCCTCTATCTCTCGAAACCCTTCGCCTGGCCGCAGGATAATGGCGATCGTCATTTAGCCACTTCCGGTGGTTCGATAGCGGTGCGCGATTTACATGAGAATCTTCTCTCTGGAATTTCCACCAGACTGCGCGAGAGGTATGAAGAGAGGGAGAGGGAAATGGTTTCCCTTTGGTTGGATTCTGATCGTTCTTCTTCTTCTTCTTCTTCTTTTTCTTCTTCTTTTTCTTCGGTTTTGTTTATTCGTTTCACTCGAGAACTGTCCACGGCAATATGTTCGCGATTTTTCAATCTGATTCGCGAATAAGAGTGATTATTAATAGAGTGATATTATAAGAGTGATATTAGATAATTACGATGAAGAATCGAAGAAATCGAAGTTTTAATTTTAAATTTTGCTCGATTTTTACTTTGTGAATAATTGAAAATTATATCTATACTTTTAAGAACGATAGAAAGGGACCCTTTAAATGTGCGTAATCAATTTTTAATTTAAATACTAAATTATTGAAAAATATTAATTTGCTTTTTTTATTTTCTTTCAAGATTTTTTCATATTGTTACTTATATTCCCGTTTATGAGAAATTCGTATTGTAAAAAGATTGATGTAATAAATATGATAAAATTTTTTTCTGTCGTTAAAAACCTTGCTCTCAATCGTCGATAATATCACTCGCCCGGAGTTACGAGTACGTCGATAGTCGCAAGATGGCGACGATTGTGTTCCGACATTATACGTTGGCGCATGCGCAATGCGCACAAGTAATCCATCAGTAATGGAAAGCGTTGTGCGGCGTAGAACAGAGTTATCGTAGCGATGCGTGGTGAAATAGTGCATCTGTTGCTTCGAAAACGTGAATAATCGTGGATTGTGGTATGATGTAGTTAATAATATCGAAATTTTGTTGAAATTATGCGGAATTTTTATCCGCGATCATGGTTGATCACTCGTACCGAATGAACGGAGAGGTTAATACACCGCTTTCTTCCGGCTTCGCCGAGAAGGTACATCACGACTGGGTAAAATCAGAAAATCCCGAGACGATTATGACGTGCAAACAAACGGACGACGTGTTGATTTTCCCTAATAAAAATCTTTGTTGCCGTTCGACCAGTAACAATGTGATTTTCAGTTGGGACTTCCAAATTTTGGCGAACGGTAAGTGTCGTTTTTTCATCGTGTTTACATTTGTATTTGACAAAAATAAACAATTAATATTTGTAAACTATATTAAAGTATTTATCAAAAAAAAAAAAAAAAAAAA